ACTTCTTCCACGAATTCAAAATTTCTGGAAAACTGTACATCTTTGAATATAATTCAGCCACGTTAAGACTCCACCATGCTACTACTGACGTTTTCATGGAACAGCCATTAGGGTATAATCCCAGCACAGACAACAGCAAGCCAAGGTCTGGCCAAAGACACCGCAACATGACTAAAAGAAAATACTTTTCTGGCGATGGATGGCATCCTTTCAGCGTAAGACACTGTTGCACCGTTTCTTTCCCTTTCTGACACTTTGAGCCCATGATACATTTGATAGAAATTGCAGGAACTATGCAAAAGTGAAATGTGAGAATAAGCACAGCTCCCACCAGGCAAGAGGCAGCTATCTGGCATTTTTAAAGGGCAAACTGAAAGCAATCAACACCCAAGAAAATACTGCTATGTAGGCTGGGGTGATCGCTTAGGATACCATAGCGAACCTGGCAAGTGCCATAGTATTTTAATGTAAATTAACAAAGATAATCACTTTGCACATTTAAGTGATGCACTTCAAATTAATTAATACATATTTAAGAGATGTCTCCTCAAACAGCTGTTATTTACTTCCAGAGTTTCTCCACATTAACACTGCTTGCTTTGTTCTTCTCCAAAGTTATGCATGCTTCTTACAACATTTAAGAACCTGCATGGTGTAGAACTAAGCATTTTTTTCTCCCAAAGAGATGAGCCTTTCTGATAACTTAATATTTTAACATTAAACATTCAAGCAATTTTCCAAAACAGAAAGGTCAAATTCTACTTACAGCATCTGCTTGCAACAGACAACCAGATGCTTAACGCTACTACACAAATACTTGCAGCAGTGAATATGATAAAGGGGAAGCAATCAATCTTCCCCTGTGGATTTTAAAATCAGATTTACTTTGATGCTAGCCCACTAAATCCCACAGTTACTGTTTTGTGTCTCATAATTTAAGGCCAAATTATGGGCCTTTCTGCTGCTTTTAAAGTGCTTGGACTTGGTACGTGGAGTTTCTGTAATTGAACAGAAATGCCATGAAGAATTTGATGCATGTTCTAACCATCACACATTCAAGAGATGAATGCTTTTCCAGGTGTGTTACCTACTTGTTCCTTTGCAGTTCATCTAGACATTGCTGCAGCATGCAAATACTTTGCAGTTTAGATAAATCTTTAGAAAAACATTCTTAAATTCACAGATGTTCTTTCTCCTTGGAGAATCCTGGGAATTTAAGTTCTGACCAGCAACAGGGGAGAAGAGAGAACGAAGGGAATTCTTATAATTCTCACCAAACAAATCCCAGGATTCTTTGGTGCTTGCTTTAACCTCAAAAGTTAAGCTTGTATAAAACCAATATAAATTCCCATCTATTTATTTCCTAAGAGTAGAACTGAAGGCTAAAAGTAGTAAAGCCAATCCCAGCCTCACAGTCCAAGGTTAAAAACCATCTCGCATCAATCCATCTTGAACTCCACAAGGCAGATTAAAGCAGCTGCCTCTGGTAGACAGATCTGGGGCACCATTAAAGTGTGACAAATGATTGGTTATTAAAGATGATGATGCTGTTAATGCAGTGGGTGGGGGTCCAGTTCAATTTATATCCTGCCTTTGTTCTACGAAGCATAAAGCAGCACGCATGGGCCACCGAGGCAGACTCTCACCCAGGCGCTGACCAGTCAGACTTGCTTCCCTTCAGCAAGTTTGCTGGGCCATATGCCTTCAGCTATTTGGGGATTTTGAGGACTTTGTGTCTCATCTGTCATAAATCCCCATCTTGGACAAACCCACATCACATGCAAGGAACAGGGAGAACAAGACCATGCTTAAAAGCCTGCTGCTTCAGAGGACTTTAAGTTTCGTTGCTGCATGACAGTACGAGGTAAAGCATGCTTTTCATAATCAGGGCCACAGTATAAACCATGGATGATCTCGCTTTCTTTTACTTTTGTTCAAGACAATGCAAAACACATGCAGAATTGCTTTTAACATGTTTTATGTGCATCCTAGAACACAGCCTGAAGGTACCTGGGACAGCAGCCATCTTGCTGAAGCAAAGCCGGTTTGGACCTCATATCGCCATGTATGTTACAACAGGATATAAAGACAACAGACAAATAAAAAATCTAAACAAAACAGAAGATTAAAAGAGCCATATTAGGGAACTAGACCCACCTCGTTTCGATGCACTGCCTCTTTTCCTACAATACTGTAGCCCCAGAGAATAGACTAATGGCCCATATCCACAACACCCTGAGGCATCTGGCAGAGGTTACATGCCCGCTCATCACCCAGTGGCTGCCATAGCAAGGGAGGAGTTGCATGTGTGAAACGGCTATCACAAGAGAGCCCTTCCGTATGATGAGACATCAAATCATTTATGTGACTTTCACTGAGGGCTATTCACACATTTGTCAAGCACTGAACACTGAGGTCTACTTCAGACATTACAGCTGTAGTATGTACACAATGGTGGCATCTGGACACAGCTGGTAGTAATTGCTGCATATAAAACAACATTGATTAAGATGCCAGGCTCCACACATACCACTTTATCTTGACACAGCTCCAGTGGAACTTGCAGCAATTACACTTTGGTTAAATGTGTATAAAGGAGGGAATCGAGTTATCGTATTTTTTTCCCTTGTTAACTTGCATCACTGTAGTAACATATTACAGCTTCACCTTCCCAATAATGAATGAATGAGACTTCCAGCAAGTCAACATCTGTAAAATCAGAACCATCATCACCCCTGAACAGTCATTATCAAGCGTCTCTAATGCAGTTTCTAAATGCCTTCCTAGAACTGTTGTTTGTAACACTTGAAAAACATTAGGTTGTTCATTAGCTGATGTCTAGAGTTCCAATAACACAGTTTTCTCAAAATGTAGTTTCAAAGCTGATGATAATTTCATCAGTAAAAAATGCAGCATGAGAAGAATGCTTCTGACATGGTGATGGAGCAGAGGCAAGGACAAGGGCCAGGCCGGGGAGAAGAGGAAGACTCCATAACCAGAAAGCCAGGGTGGTGCAGTGGTTAAGATCGCAGGACTGGGACTCGGGGGGTCTCAGCCACAGAGCCAACCAGGTGACTTCAGGCCATTCACAGACTCTCAGCCCAACCTACCTCACAGGGTTCTCAGGGGATAAGACTGAGCGCAGCAGTAGAATGATGTAAGTCTCTGTGAGTTCAAGCGAAAAAAGGCAGGATATAAATCTAATATATAAATAAAAACCAAAGGAGTCAAAGCTTGTTCCTTTGGACGACCAGAATCTACTTTTTGTTTAGCCACAACCCGTCACTGCAACAGTGACTGGAAGGCAGAGCCAGCTGCACATGGTGGCTTAGAAGGTGGAATCTATTACTTTTGAACCGATTACCATGCATCTCACACACACCAGGATAATGCAAGTACAAATCCGCATTTTCTTACCACTAATCAGGTATTCTAACATCTTAACTGAAGAAAGAAATAATTACATATTTTATTGTTGCTGTCCTTAACAGAATTGAGAGCTGGAAATCCTTGCTGATCTATTTGATGGAAATTACTCAGCGATCTATCAGCTGTTCTGACAGAACCCACCTTCTGCCCAGCAATTAAAAGAATTGCACTCCATGAGTTTCTCCAGGATGGGCTTCCAAGTTTAAAAATCACCTTCTCTAGTCTGGGCTTTAACAGATGTACCTCAGCACCACCAAGTATCCAGAGAAGAAAGTGTGGAGATGGCTTAATACCAAGTAACTCAGGTCAACCTGAGCTAGATGACCTAGGAGGATATCATTCTAGGAGGCTCAACAGGTAGCACTCCCTTCATCCCTGCATTACATCCATTTCCTGGAGTAAGGCATCTACCATGAAGACTCAAAGGCAGAGTGGAACAGCACTAAATAACTGAGCTGTTTGTCTGAAGTTCAGACATCACCACTTTTTCCCTGGTCCCTGCTTACGAGTGGAATGCTCCACAGCATCCATTATCCAGGACCATAAGGGCTCAGTTGCACCTTTTCAATAGGTATGCCCTTTCAATAAAGTGAGGAAGCATACTTTTGAGCAGTGCTGAGATGAGGAAAGTGACGAGCCTAGTGGCTTGCCTTTCTGTAGCTTTGTATTCCCAGGTGACAGTAGAAATCTCTCTGGCCCACTTCGGAATGAGCACTTGGCCTTCTGCAGGACCAACTAATGAGCTGTGTTGCTTTGCAGTATGGCTTGCTTGCAAGCATGCAAGAAAGGGAGAGCAGTAGAACCAGCCTGTGTTTGTGGCTCCATGATCTCGAAAGGCATGGCTCAATGAAGATTAAAAAAAAAAAAGGCTTCACAGAGATCAAGCCAGTGGCATTCTGAACATGCAAGTGGCTGCATTATCGGGTTGCATCTGGCTTGCTACTTGTGTCCCATTTGGAGGTATGGGTGCATGCCTGGGGATGTTTGTTTGTTCATTCACATATTTATATGCCTCCTGTAACTGCCACAATGGCCTCCCTGCTGCCCACATTCATCAACTGGCATGTATTTCAGAATGTGCATACAGATCTACTTTTGAAAAGCACTCAGAAAATATGCTTTAATCAATGAGAGAAGTGTACATTTCAAAGAACCACTCAACTGATGGGTACATTAGGAAAATACACATGAGATACACATGGATTTCTATGTGAAAAGGCAAAAGGCTTGCAACTGAATACAGAAATTTGAGCTGATATGAGATGGAACATGAAGAATTTTGCTGAACTTCCACTGAGTCAAATGTTCCTAGTTTGGTCTTTCTCGGAGTTCTTTCTCTTTCTCTACAGTTAGGATTGCTTTGCCCACGATAGGTAAGTTGATAATTTCTTGTTTTTCGGCGCCAGGTAAAGACCTTTTTATTTAAACGTCATTTTAATTGTTAACAATATTTACTTATTTATCTGGCCAGGGCGACTTCTTTTCTTTTATATCTTCTTTTATATCTTTTATATTTTTATTTATTTTATATTATTAATTTTAATTTTATATTGTTATTTTTGTATTGTATTGTATTTTATTGTGTTGTAAGCCGCTCCGAGGCTTCGGCAAGGGGCGGCATAGAAATGTTCTAATAATAATATTAATAATTATTATTATTATTATTATCTGGATGAGGAAGCAGGGTTATAACAAGATTTCCTGCCACAAGGACTGCTACAGTTGCCAGGAGAAGATGAACCCCTGAAGCATTATCACTGCTCAGAAAGAACAGTTTCTTACCTGGCTGAGTGAAAGGCTGGGCAAGAAAGTGTGAGACAGTATTATCTAATTATCCTGTAGCAACAAGGAGCAGGAGAACAGAAGATATGTGAGTGAAGAGGGAAGTGGGCCCTCAATGTTTCATCTAGAGGATTAAAAGAAAAAACTTTGTCCCAAATATCAGATATTTGCATAATACCAAGGCAAGGTGCTTCAGTTCATGACACAACTGAAGCAGCATAACGATTCTGTATGCTTGCAGCAGATGCTGATTTCAGTCTCTCAGTCGACCAATATGATCCATAAACCTTTTGACACGATCTGGATCGATACTGTTTGCCCAATATCCTTCTTTCTTGAAATACGAACCAATGATCAAAGCATTTGCACCCAGGTAGTTCTTCGCGTTGTTCAGAGTAACTCCAGATCCAACCAGCACTGGAATTTTCACAGCATGTCTAACTTCTAGAGAAAATGAAACAGGGAAACTTGCAATAAAAATGGACAAGTTGTAGCCACAGTTGTTTTCCAAATAGCAGCACCACACATTGTACTGTGTCCCATGTTAATTTTCACTATGATTTCCCAGTGATAGTTCCACCTCTCTAGAAGGTTTAAGAGGTAGGCCCCGTTCAGATACAACTTAATAAACTGAAATATGCATTAGTCTGTATGCTCCATCCTCTTGTCACTCCTTCCCTCCTGCTTGGGACACTATGAATGATATCTTCCTGCATTAATTAATTATATTCAATTGTTGCTTCCAATCCAAGAAACAGTGGGTACCAAGGCTTGAATGATCCAGGGTCTTAAACAACTTCAACCAGAGGTTTAATATAGCGGTTTGTTCCAGTCCCAGTAACCATATTTCCCTATTCCCTTCTTACAGCACACTGCAATTAATCTAGAAGACTTCAACCAACCAGTTTTTTTGTTACATCAGAAACAGGCTGGGGCATCAGCACAAGGGCAGAGTGCACTGGCACAGGACCTGTGTATATCAATTTATTAAGCTGAGATTTATATGTCCAATTCAGGCCAACATAAAGCAATGTTACAAAAGAACAAATCTGTCTTTTATTATGGGCTCAGAATGTTAAAGCAAGAGAAATGGCAGAAACATCAAAATGGCTGCTAGACACATGGGGCTGATAATGTTTCCCACTCTATCCTATATACTCTACTCTGCCAAAAGTTGTTTTTTACATGGATCCATGCTTTCTCTTGGCAGTTATCCCACACACTGATAATTGCCCTTTGGGAACAGCTGAATCCCCTAACAGGGTATGCAAGGAACAGACCCAACCGCATCAGGGTTAGGCTGGTCTTTGTGGTCAGGCATCTCAGGCAGAAAGCTCTGCTGGGGTATTTTTTTATGTACTAATTTTAGGTAAGAATTAATACCTCTGCAGGACTGATGGTGAAGAGTTATTCTGAAACTTTTCCCATACCACTTGCAGCTAGGCAATTGCCAAAGTAGTCCTAAAAGTGGTCCCAGCAGAGGTACATCTCTGGTTGCTATCATGATCACTCAACAATAAACAAAGAAGACAGGTAGTGACACCTGGGTACACTTGCACTGCAGATGTCAAACTAGCCTCAAAAATATTTCTGCAGGTGTAGTGCTGGTTTGGTTGTTAACTTAGACTAAGGAGCTGGGAATGGGGAGCAGCTTAGCAATGTTGGAAGCTGATACATGATCACATCCTCCTCCCTTTCCAGTTTAGCTTTCAAAGAGACAAGCAATCAGATCAAAACATAAATTGGCGTAAGGCATTCAATGGGCTTATTTTGTAATATGATGAAAGAATCCAATTGTGCCTATACTTAAGCAGCAGCAGGGGTTCCAAGGGCAGACAGGCTCAATTTGCTCTCATAGAACGACTTAATAAGACACACACACCACAAAACCCTGCCATTCTTGCTCCTGCAGCATTAGACACAGCTACGCAGGTTACCTCTGATACAGCTCAGATCACTTTGGAAACACTGAGGCGCAATTATGGTAGAGGTCCCCCACACTTGGACGGTCTTCTTCATCTTGGCATAATCCCACTTTCCAGTACTTCAAATGAGAAGCTAAAAAGGCCACACTTGATTGTAGGGGTACTATGTTTCCCCCAGTTTATGCATTACTTCCTGAAGCATCTTTATTTCAACAACACTTCATGAACTATCTGGTGACACTGCATGTAGGACAGAGTTCATCAAAAGCATCTTATGCTACAACATGTTAGGCGTGTATAAATCCAGTAACTCTGTGCTAGAATATATGCATAGTTTAAAATAACTGAATGTATTTGTAATCAGCTAGCAAAACCAAGCTCCCACAGGTGTCCATTGGTTGGCCTTTGCACTCCATTTCTGTAGCTGCTCTTCCTACAGGAATGTCAATTCCCAAAGCTAAATTTCCTATTTCTTCCCATGTTATGTTTTTAATTCACCTTCATTAGAAGTAACCTTTTAAAAAAAGGTTATGAAGAATGTCATCATTCATGAGCTACAGCTATCAGGAATGATGCCCTTCCCTCTTTTTTTTCTAATTAAGAGAAATGAAAAATATGTACATCCACTTATATGGTTATCTACTTACTCTGACAGCTGCTTGTACCAGACAAAACCTGCTAAGTGTGTCACAGCGGGTTCTAACAAGGACACTACTGATCTACTGGATAAAACAGGTACAACAGAAAAGCTGAAACAAGAAATGTGTCACCTGTCATGTTTAACACAGACATTTTCAATCCACTACCAATTCATACAATAAGCATTGACACAACGGATGTAAACAGCACCCTACTAGGACTTGGATTAATAATAAATTAATCCACCACAAATCAGGGTTCATAGTCTAGCAAGGGAAAGTTTCCTCAGAGGTCAATGAGTCCATCTACCTTCTTAAACCATCACAGTTCTCACCTTCCAGTTCTTTGGGATCCGCTTCCATCCCCGTTGCAGTTCCAGTCAATACAACACCATCAGCCAGAAAGAATTCAGCTGCCTTAGCAGTCTCTGCCACACTGACATCAGCTGTCAAAGCATGAGCACTGTCAAACCGCAGAGCTTATTTATTTTTACCTGTAATTGTTAAACTTATTTTTCTGCAATCCTCTTTTCAAAATAACTTTCCGGCCAAACTTTCATCAGAATTTAACAAATTACAGAAAGGTGTTTTGGGATGACTTGTATAGCCAACAGTGAAGTACTCAGTATGGTCACCCTATTCCCATCAAAGTATTTGTCATAATTGCTCAGAAATCACTTTTTCTAGTTGTAACTGTCCAGTCATTCAGCAGCAAGGACATCTTGTTCATATAGCCCACATTATAGCTTAGAATATATGGTGTACACCTTTATTTGATACAATCTCCCAACCTTCCACTATTTTGATAAGATCTCCCAGGATCTCATTACTTTAGAAAGCCAAGTTATGACAGAATATTTGTAGCTGGAATTAAAGGAGCCACTGGTCAACACACTTTTCTGGAAGACTCCCTGGCTGAGCACAGAACTTGTCACTTGCAAGCAGAATCCACACAAGTTAAATGCAAGCAGAAACTGGGTCATTAGCAATTTATGACTGAAATGAGTTTCCAGTGTGGCTCACTTTGCCCAATAGAGCTGTCTATCAAACGTTGGTTTCAAGCATGTATTTACCTGTGTTTCTTTTTAATGTCAGCAAAAATCTGAACGTGTTCTGCACCAATTTGTTTCCGGTATCTCAGTATGCTGCCAGCGCAGGCATTTAGAATCCCTTCATCTGCTACATGTGAAAAAACAAAGCCTTCAGTTCGAATAAAGTCAAGACCTACAAATGGTAAGAAAGATTATTGTGATGCAACTGAATGAGGGGTGGGGAGAAACAGTCATGTTATTAACCAGACAATCCCATACACAAAATGGGGTACCAGGGTGCATTGGTATGTTGAACTTGTCCGCAGGTGAGCCACATTTAAGTAACTTCTCAGTTATGATGCTTCCTGCATGATCTAAGGAAAGTCACGATTTATTACGCTGCTGAATTGGGGCAACCCAGAATTTTTTTTAAAAGGAAAAGAAATGGCATCCATAACTGCTATGGCGTGTCCACAGGGTCAAACTCAGCTTGCTCGTTGTCTTAGGCTAACCTATTTTGAACAGGTATTTTAAGGATCATACAAGTGTTAGTCCCACAGATCTCTTTTTGATTCTAGAAAAGACCAATGCAGCATCAATAGGAAGGATGCTATTCTACTTGTTCCCCTAGGGACATCACAGCAAGCAGGGACAAATGTGCTTCTGGATAAGAGCTAGGGGACAATGAGGGGAAAAAGGAGATATGCAGAAAACAGAGCCTTCAATACAGGAAACCTGCCTCATTTTTCCAGCAGTCACTGCCCTTGCATTCGCAGATCATTGCTATAATTCACGAAAGCTACAGTTCGCTGTTTTGAATAATAATAATAATAATAATAATAATAATAATAATAATAATAATGATTCTTCCTCAATGTAACATAGTCACAACTAAAGGACTGACTGATGGATTTACTAGCAGGTATATACTGCATTTCATTTGAAACAATTCCCTGAACAGCTTACAAAAGAATAAAAACAAAACAATCACTAAAGCCAACACAACATAATGGGGTTACTAATATTATGCTATGAGTATAATTGTATATAAGCTCTCACACAAGGACAGCTCTTGACTGGGGGAAAGCCAAAGCGAGTAGGTAAGGTTTTCTTAAACACCAAAAACATGACATTTGGGGAAGAGAATTCAATAGGTGGGTCTTACTGTGGAGAAGTCCAGTCTCTTTATCTCGTCAGCAAACAGAAGTGCATGGGCCACAGAATGAAGAGAGCTCTCCCAAAGATTACAGGGGTCTGAGAGGTTAGTACAGTGGAGATGTTCCAGGACGGTTAACTGGTCCTGAACTAGTATTAGTGTAATAAGTCCTATGCAACACCTTAAACCTATTTCAATTAACACCTTGTGTAGGCTGTTGTCTATGTACATAGTAAAGCACCTCCATCAGAGAAATTATTTTATACAAGTGACACCACGGGTTTATCTAGCCCAGTGTGGTATTTTCTGAATGGGAAAATCCCTCCCAAAAGTGTAGAGCGAGAGATTTCCAAGACCTCTTACTGTAGGTTGTTATCCAGGTATCACATGGACTGTACCTGAGACTTTCTGTAGTCAGCAAATATGCTGTTCCGCTAAACTGCAGCTTCCTGTGAAGCAGAACTCCTGTTCACCACAGGATCGAACCGATGTCTTGGTATTATCAGCACTACACTCTAATGAGCAGAATTAGTCACTAGTGCACAGTGCTGCCATATGAAAACTGTGGAGCTATCAAACAAAGGACTACATTTAACTTCTATGTAGTGCATGCTAATGGTTATATCAAGAAGTCAGTTACTAAGGACACAATCCTACACATGCTTAGGCAGAAAAAAGCCCCCCAAGGTAAGCTGGTGAATGCTGGAAATTGTAAGACTCCTCTTTGTCTAATGTATATGATTGTGCCCTAAAGAGACAGTGAGTGTGGGGAGGAAGGTAATTCACCCCAGGCACGGTCAGAGTGTTCTCAAATATTATCAAGACCACAGCAAAATGGAAGCTGCAGTGCAGACAGCATCTATATTTGTAACTTTATCACTTCCACCAACGTTCCTGAGGCTCAGTAATAGGCATCACTCTGTGCGGCCTCAAACAGATGTAGCTAATTAAATCAGAATCTACGCACAGGAAATTATGCACTACTGAAGAACACATGGTACACCTGTTAATAATGAAGCGGTTGTGAACAAAGCTTGGCAAATCATTCCATGGGAGAACTTTGCTGTTCGCACTCAGAAACAAGGAAGAATCAAGCTGGAAAGCAGTTCTAACCAAGACAATGGCATAAACAGTTTTTGGTCATTGAAAAACAAAAAGATGTTCTGCTATGAAGCAATCCATCAGATCAAGAAACAGAAAATAATGCTGAGCTCTACAAGAGTGCTTTCACCCTCAAAGCGCTTTCTGGTTCACAGATGTTAATTTTATTTCCATGATCATTTAGTATTCCTATTTTGTGATCCCTATTTCTTCAGTTTATCCTTCTCCCCTTATTTTCTTCCATTACCATGTACTACTAGTCCTTCACAGCAGTTCTTCTCACTTTTTAAAAAGGGAGCAGGGCTGTAATATACTTGCAGGCCTAGGGCACTCTCAAAAGCCTAAGAAGAATGCAACAGTAGAAAAATAGGATCTATACCATAATTTAGGAAACACCTGAAAGAGGGGAAGACAAGACGACCACTGTGAGTCAGTTGTGTACCAAAAGAATGGGCAAGATTACCTTGCAGATATAATTTAAGCTCTTAAGCATAATCGGCACAAATTTGACATGCTGAAAACGCTTAAGCACTATCCTGAGCTTCGATTTCTACAAGGAAGCAAGAATTTTTCAGAATGGAATTTTACTGCTTTAATAATCGCACATCAAGCCTTTTGTACAACAGTTGACAGGACAGTCTTTAAACGGGCAGTTTCACATTTTGGAACCTTCGAAAGCACAAATCACAGTTGAGATCTATTGCCTTTCTTAATAAGAAAGAAGTCCTTGGTCAAGATTTGAAGATTCAGTTTCAGCAGACATCCTGGGAACAGCAATTTTCTCATGAGCCAGGCATGTATACACGCCTCTTTTTAAATAATCGTATGTGTAGATCTTACTGGCTCACATTCTGTACTGTAATTTGCACGTAAGCAGTCTTATGTGGAAAGACAGAGGAAGACTTATTTGTGACCACAGACTGAGAGGTCTTATATCTACAAATCCGCCCCAGCAAGAATATATTCAAAAATTATACATATGCCAGTGCTAGACACTGCTTTGCTGCTTGGCTGGTGCGGCATCAGAGCCAACCCAAGACAGTCCGCTGCCTGTGCAAAATAAAGCGGCACCCTCTCCCACTCGAAGCGGCACCCTCTCCCACCCTCTCCCACTCGAAAACCAAGAGAGCGGAACTGTGCTTCAGCATCATTAATGGGAGCACCACAGAACAGCACGCAAGCTGAGGGGTGCAAACAGGCTGCAGAATGCCCACTGTCCCAGCGCAGCACCTCCATACAGCTACGAGTCCTGCACAACAGAATCATGGCCCCCAGGCCCACAGTGCTCCCCGAACATCTTATCAAGAGAACTTCTTTACCTCTCAGGGTTATTTGGGAAAAGGCAACCATGGTCTCTCTGAAAGACTGACTGTGGGTGTAGCTTACTCATGGGCTATTTCTTCCCAGTGGACCCTGCACCTGCCTTTCCCGCTTCCACCATGACCATGTTCTTCCTTTCCTGTATATTTACACATTTTGCGATATGGGGATATTATCCAAAGGACCTTGATTTGTGTATATTTGTTTATACCTCCAGTTTGTGCTCAGGTCTGGTGCAGACAAAATGCTCCGGCAAACAATGACCAAGCACCCAGGGTGCAGACTCTCTTCACCTCCAGTTCAAATTTCCCTCTTTTTCCCCCCTTGGCAGCTTGACCATGGTTCAACATTTAATCTACACTTATACTAGTCATGGTGAACACTAGTCAGCTGCTCTCTCAACCAGGGTTTGCAAACCTTCCTAAAAGATGGCTGCTTTTGTCTGGCATTAAACATGGACAGTATGAATGAAAATGTAATGCTAAATTATCATTAAAGCTGAAGAGAAACAGGAAGGAGAATCTTTGCTGGAAGGGAAGCTGGCCTTCAATTTGCAAACAATGGTCCTCAGCAAATCAGCATTAACTGGTTGTTCTAAATGTAGGTTCAGCTGTGAGATGTGAAGAGCATAAATGGCTATGCTAAACGAAGGCTGTGGTTAGTTGTCAGAAGAGATTGACTAATTGTGTGTGTTAGTTTATGCATGCCAGCTGTCTGAAACTATACATCTACTCAGATGTAAGTCCCTTGGGTTCACTTGATTTTACTTCTGATGAAATATGCAAAGGATCAAGTTCCAAGGGTGCTGTGAATTACTAGACATCTGTAGTTATTGGAAACTACACCAGTACTGACATTCAGAGATCAATTTAACTCAAAATAATTTATATAGGCTGCTATTCCAAGGCAGAAAAGGGGCAATTCCATTCAAGAATTCTTTTCTGAAACCACAAGAGTGCTACAGAATGTTACAGAGAGGGGAGGAAAAATAGTTAACATTATAGAGTACACCTTAATATTACAAAGTGCATCTTAAGATGAAGACATACCTATTATCTAATCAATTCTGCTTTTTGACTGGAGATTCTAGTTGTTTAAGTAAACCTAAGCATTCATCTCCAATAGTGAAGGAGGAAAAATGACATTATCACTTTTTCAAAATAAAATATAACAGGAAAAAGTAGTGCCAAACTAAGGAACAGATTTTAGGAATGATTCATCTGTCGCAGTTTGCATCAAGATATATTAACAGGACTGTATAAAAGTAATGTCATTTTCAGTATTAATCACCTATCACTCCTGAATCAGACATAGCATAAAATGAAAAGCTGAAACCATTAAGCCAACACTTCAGCAGGTTAAAGTAGTACTGGCACAATGTATATTAATGTTCATATTATAAAGAGAGTTTGATTTTTTTAAAATATATCTTGTTTTTCTTCAAAATATACTAACACAGCCAAGTATTTTTCAGACCCACACAGTTCTTATTAGGATACTTTAAGAAAAGGCAAAATACTTTGCAAAATGCTTAATGCTTCTCTACAACAGCCCTGTATACGAGGTAGGGAACAAAGACAGAACTACAACCATATTCACCACCATCTAATTGCATAGATGAACTCACATTTGAACCCAAATCTAGGATGGACACTATCCACTGGCCTAAAGTCCTTCTTGTTAAGTTCAGGTTAATTTAATTTGTTCTTAAGTGAATTTCATTAATTCCACAGAGGTATAATAGTTCATTACAGTAGATTACTGTGATATCCTGAGGTATAACTGGAATTAAATGAGTGATCATAATGATTTAAAATTAATCCCTTGTACCATTTTATTGAACTAAATGGAGGAAGGCCATCAATGGCTATTTATTATGAAAGGGGGCACAGCAATTGTTAATATAGTTATGGAAAGAGAACTTCTAAGACAGAACATATAATGTGCTTCCCTCTGTAGACGTGATTCCCAACCTTGAAGCTCCAGATGTTGTTGGATCAGAACTTTTATCAGTCCTGACCACTGGCCATGCTGATTGAGGATAATGTGAGTTATAGTCCAGCAACACCTGGGAACCCAATGTCAGGAAGCACTGCTCTACAGCATAGAAAACACATCAAACAATATATCCTAGACAAAGCTCTCCTATTACTTCTGCTAATCAGTTATTCCTTTTCAGAGCTGACCATTGTACAGTATTACGTCTACGCCAACATGAATACTATCCGTGGTTAGCAGAAGCATTCATAGCTATGGTAATAGCTGGCTTATACACCTTGGCCAAAACTAATCATGCTTAGCATTAACACTGGGGTGGATGAAATGCTGGATGAAGCTTGGCTCTGAAAAGGGCAGAGGGAGCAGGTCTCTGTGCAGGAGGAGCATGAGATCAGGAACATTATGCCCACTCCGTGCCTGTCATCTGGACACTCACAGGTAAGGGTATGGGCCTAAATTTCCATCTTGGATTTTTAAAAAAGTCAACAGGTATTCCAACATCATGAATGGTGCAGCACTAAAAAAAAAAGGGAAGGGGCAGGCTTAAAGTTGATGCTAGAATGCAATTTATGTTTTGGAAAGTGTCCAATACGTTCCAACCATGTGCCTTCTTCAAGTGTAACGGCTAAGCATAATTTTGCCCAAGTTAAACAATCCATGCTTAGTTGGGGCCATGCTGTAGAAAGTGAGACTCTGCTTCCGGTGCAGGCTGCTTGTCCTTTGCAACCACTTTGCTAAACAACCCAGAAGCACCCTGCTGTTGCCTTGTTATAAAAAGTCAAAACTCCTGCCTGACTTATTCCAAACAATTGTGTTGCTTTGTTGCCTATTCGAAACAATTAACAAATCATGGGTCAACAACCCAGAGTTCCAGTTTCACAGATCAGGATGAGCAGCTCAGAAATGGAGCACTGAAGAAAACAAATGCAAACTAGTGATAGCCAACAGGCAGGAAGCAGCCCGCCTGCCTAATCGGGCATGGCCTCAACAAACTATGGGCTAGATAACATCTAGCTGGTCATTACATGTGAATCGGTGATTATGTGACTCTTTTGCTATACTGGAATAAGACCTGTGAAAGTCCTTTCACCCCAAAGGAGGTCTACACTAAGAGCTGGACAGGTAACCACTACTCTCCAGCATCATCTCCAAGTCCACCTCTTCTGTCTCCCAAACACTAACTCCTTTTTTCCCATCCAAAGAAGGCTGGTTATGGAAATATACATTACACATGAAAATAAAATTCCGCCTGGGTTTGCGCGACGGTTCTGCCAGCTGATGCGAGCCTATTCACCCTGCTCACATTCAGCCTCAAATGACAAACGACCCCAAGTTGTTTCACTTACCTGAAGCAAGAGCAACTGCTGTAGCCTGTTGATTTGCGGCACACAGAATCTGAACACCCACTGGGAGAAGAGGGCATGTCTTTTTTACTGTGGCACAAATGACTGCCATGGCTGCAGTAATTTCTGCTCCAACATCGACTGTGTACGGCCGATCATGCATATTCTCTACAATCAACCCATCCTGTGGGAATATATACAGAGGAAGCCTATTAAAATCGGAAGAGCTGCTCCAAAATGACAGAGGACTTTACATGCAGCGGACAGATTTGTAGATAATGCCCAAGAAATTTGCACTGTAATCACATAGTGGGACACACAGCCCAGCATTTTGTGCTTAGCAGAGAACCTGGAGCCTTATATAATATCCCAAGATTTCTCAGCTTTCACTATTAGAAATGTAAAAAGTACCCTTGGACGTATATGCTTGGATTGCTTAGTTTGCCCTCATTCCTAGCCTGCACGAATAAAAAGCAGCATGTTTCTTTGCAAGACACTTTACCGAACGACAGGGCAAGAAAATGAGAAAAGAGTATTCTTTTCCTTCTCTGCTCCCACTACCACCACGATTTTTGTAAACAACCACCACCAACAACAAAAGAGGTATTCTACTTTTACTTAGCACCAAATCCAGACTTGCCTCTAACATTTTAAATATCACTACATACTGACCCGGTTTACAGATCACCAAAAACACATGGTGAAACTGTGGGTGGCTGAAAATGAACTGGGAGTGAGCAGGCACACTCATTCCCATGTACTTGCTTCCACTGTGATGAACAATCCAGGAATTCCCTACCCCTACATTATTTAAGTGATATCTGAACTAAGAATGTTGGGTTCTTGGAGAATAAACAACCCAGAGCCAATAATCCAACAAGTTCCAGGCTCAGAGTACATGGGTTGTTAATTGCAGCAGAAACGGAAAGGGACACATGCCCCAACGCGCACACTGACTCCAGCTGCACTTCCAAGAAACTATGGTTAGCCATGGATTGCTAGTGGCATGACTACCGGGTAGCTGGACAAATGTATCTGAATTTGATAAGCTGAGATAGGAACAAACATTTTTCCTGTGAAAGCAGTCCCATAAGACTCTTTTTCTCCCATAAGACATTGCAATTAACCCCAGAAATCTCCACTTAGCCTCAGTTTTCCTGTTACATATGAACCAGAAAACTATAGCAACCAGGTACAGATCCAGTCTGAATCTTAAACCAAGACCTAGTTTGGAGTTTATAATCATAGCTTTGCAGTTCACACATAAAGGAAAGATTATGCCTAAGTAAAGATTGGCTTATTGCAGTAGCACACAAAGATGGAATGTGAGCTAGAGCATCATATAAACAGAGCAGAAGAACAAAAGATTCATGAATATCTCAGCTTATCCACCCCGGAATATCTCAGCTTATCAACTTGAATTGGGCCATTCATAGATCAAGTTAAGGAAACACACTTTGTAATTGCAGTATTTTCCTTATTGGTAATCTTCTGGATCATTGTGCATTAAGAATTATGCAAGACAATTTTAGAGAATTATTGTTAGTATTGAAGGGAATAGTGCTCCATACATAACACAAGGTAGGAAAGGGCTTATTTTGGGGGTACTGGAGCATATAAATGTTCTTTATTAGGCTTGCAGGGCAATGGACTTTTAGCTACTCTGCACTGCATTTCTGCCCACTTATAAATTTTTCTGGCAATGGTGCATGAGGGAGAATTCCCCAAAATTTCAGATAGGGGTTATGATGCAGTGCTCAGATTATCAGATAATAGAGAGAGAGGCTTTGACAGAGTCTGCAAGCACCAAATCCTAAACTCTGATCCCTCCCAATTTTAGACATGTATGACTTGCATTCTAATACAATAAGGGAAGGCCGCCATTACAAGAGATAAGCGGGCTGGAACCTCTCCTGCCCCATCTTTCTGTATTCTAATTTTGGCACTGGTACAAAGGAAAGACTGTGTTTAGATAGAGCCAGTTAAAAGCCCCAGTTTATATTGTCAAGCACACTGAGAGTGTGTCATTGCCTCTAGCATTAATCTGACACTGAAAATAATATCAGAACACAAGCTTAAAGCTATGTTGTAATATTGGAGTGTTTAAACAAAACCAAATACTATATTTTTCTTTCCAAAGGAATTACGTTGGTACAACACTCACTTCCAAAAGAGTCCTGACCAATGGCGTGATTTTTTAAGGCAATCGCACAAAGAATTAACTCTGAGCTCAATTAAACTCCTGTTGAACAACTGTAAAGGGCAAAAACTGAACTTTCCTTTTCAATTATGTACCACCAAGTCAAACCTTAATATTCCCAACAGAATGAGGGGAATGACTCAGTTGTGATGACTGATTGATGGATCTGCTAAGCAAAGCAATTAATACCAGTTGGAAGAGAAGGTATTTTTCAGAATAGCCAGCAGCTCCATTTTTGGTCTGCTTTCCTGGCAACGAATAGTTTGCAAAGGTGAGAAATCAAGAAAGGCAATAAGGAACTTGGGCCTAACCTAACTCCCAAGTTGTTGCTAGGGTAAAAGGGACTATTAGTGGGGAATCACTGGGATGGCAGTTGGTGACAAGCGGGGTCCCCCAGGCACCGATCCTGTTCAATCTTTTCATCAATGACATGAAAGGGTGACAAGTCTGCTGATCAAATTCGCAGATGATACTAAAATGGGGACAGTGGCTACAACTGAGGAGCAGGTACTCCAGATCCAGAAGGATACAGACGGACAATGGAAGTGGGCCAGGGACAATAGGATGGAGTTCAATACGGATAAGGGCAAGGTCTTGCACTTGGGGCATAGGAATGGGTGTTAAAAGTACAAGTTAGGGGACAAGTGGCTGAAGATCAGCACTTGTGAAAAGAATTTCGGGGAGCTGTTCGACTGCAGGCTAAACAGGAGTCAGCAGTTTGATGCAGCAGTCAAGAGGGCGAACACCACCCTAGTATGAATAGTCAGAATTGTGGCTTCTAGATCAAGAGAGGTATTACTGCCACTCGTGACGACTCTGGTGCACCCGCAGCTGGAGTACTGGGTTCAGTTCTGGCCCCCTTGTTACAAGAGGAATATAGCAAGGTTGGAATTGGTGCAATGAAGGGCCACAGGGATGATGGCTGGTTTGCAGGGTAAGCCAGATGAGGAGAGACCGAGGGAGCTGGGTATTTTCAACCTTGAGAAGAGACTCAGAGCAGACCTGTTAGCGACAAACAGGTATTTTAATAACTAATTGCCATAAGACCTTTGTTTTGAATTTTTTTGCTGTATTTTGTTGTTTTTAATGTGGTATTGGTTTTTATTATGTTTTTACTGTGTTTTTATCTTGTGGTTGAGAGCCGCCCAGAGGTGCTGTGGCACAATTTGGCAGCAGATGTTTTAAATAAATAAATAAATAAATGTGAGGGGATGTCACATAGAGGTGGGTCATGACCTTTTCCCCCTTGTGGTGGAGGGCAGGACACGTTCCAATGGAGCAAAGCTCAGGGAACCAAGATTCAAGGTGGCTGCCAGGAAATACTTCCGGATGGTTAGGACCCCTGGGCTTATGGAATGAGATTCCAAAGCAGGTGGTTGAAGCCCCATCGGTGAGGGTGTTTAAGGATAGGCTGGACATGCATATGGTAGGCATGTCATGAGTGGAGCCAGGGGTCAGATAGCCCAGGAAGCCCCTTCTGACTCGCTGTGTTTCTATGAATGATCACTGCAGTACCAGTGGCCATTCTGAGTATTCAGCTCCCAACAAGAGGATTGTCATAGTTATGCCATCCAAACAACCTAGGTTGTTTAACCCCCAGACATCTGCCTCCTGGGTTCAGATGGCAGGACACATACCCCACTGGGGGCTGAATACTCAAAATGGCCACTGATATGTGCCCCACGCATGCAAATAACCAACTATGAAGTACAGGTATTGCGCAAACTGGTCCTTGTATTTTTCCTTATATCTGTGGAAGAAAGATGGAAGAGAAATCAAATGTAATGAATAATAAAAACGCAACTACTAACTTCTATCTATAGCACTATATTATTATTATTTAATGTGTAAGGTGCTTTACAATCAATGACTGAATTGACTTTGCAGCAGTCTTGCCACCATGTTTTGAAAATGGAGAAATGCAGCAAAAAAAGGCAACTTGCTCAACATGATACAAAAGAAAGAGGGGAGACAGAACCTGAAAATGCCATTCACAAGTAGGATTCCACAGCAAAATGCTGGGCAGCAGGTGGGAGCAGAAAAGTGCCCAGAACCCCAGCTTTCTCGGAGGCTGCCTTGGGCAAGCAAATGGGTGGCTGAGCAGTTATCACAGATTCCTCAGGTTAAATTTCAATACTGTCAGCTGGACTGTATCATCTCTCTACTTCCGCATACTGGTAAGTAACACAAAGAACCAACATCATTCATATTTATATTCCATATTGCTTAATGGATAAGTCTCTTCTTTATTGACTTCTATAAATCAACACGGCAACTTTCATGATTTGGAGCACACAGCTACACCTTTTACAAACAAAAGTCCAGATAGCAAAAAATCATTTTCAAAATGTCTTTGCATTCTTCTGACAGCACTTAGGTGAAAATAAAAGGATGCCTCTTATTTAAAAAAATTAAAATGAAAGCTCTTTGAGTACAGCCAATTGTGTGTACTATTTATAGACCCATTAGAAAATCAATACAATTTTACATTTTAGTGCTATAGCAGCATCTTCCATCAGTTGAAAGAACCAAACCACACAGCCCTAATTAAAAAAATGAATGCAAATTTCCCTGTAAGAAACAATGCCCTTTTCCTTTTTTCAAATATTGAACTGTATGCTTTCGGTATTTTAGCACAAGATTCTATTCTACTTCAACCCTGAACAAGAGAGGATTGGTCAGTACACCTCTGGATGCTACACCATTTTTTTAAAAAGCAACTCTTTGGGTACAATAAATGAACTCTTGCTCATTTGACTCGCAGGATATTTTAGGTGAGAGACTGAGCTGTTTCACGCAGCATGGTGGTCCACTGTGGGTTAATTTATCCATGGGGGCTGTCATGCTGTATGTTGCCATGGCAGGAGGGGTTGTTTGAAAATTAGATAATCCTCCAGTAACAACCAACTAAGCCATCAGTTAACACAACGCAAATGAGGGAGTAAGCACAAACCCATAATGGGCTGTTGTGTCATGCAAACCAGGCTGGGTATCATGTTATATAAAGCAGGTCAATGAAAAATGTATGTTCTGGAATTCAGCAACCTGTCATACAGACACATCTCACATCACATGAATTTATATTTCTGTACCTAAGATATAACTCTTTGCACACATTTTTATGCTTACTCAATCTGCATATGTCTACATTCCTCTCTCTTTCTTACCAGCAGCCAACAGAACAAGCAGAACGAAAACGGTTTCCCCCCATATAGCCATTGTTAAAAATAAACTGTATCACTTTTCAGCACACAAAGCGATACACCATTCTAATTATGTTGATTACATATGACAAGAAACTAAAATGAGTTACATTAGATAAGAGTGACAAGAGGCAAAAGAAACACTTTTTCTTACTTTTCATAAATAAATTTAGAAAAATATAAATACTAATTCAAAAACAGAAGACCACTCAGACACACACCATTCAAGCTAACAGCCAGTCCTTAAGAGCTAGCTGCAGCGGGTGACAGAGCTACTGAGCTGCCCTTGACAGAAGGTAATTCTGTGGAACATCCAGCCTCCAGGATGTTGCTGGACTGCTGCTCCCAACATCCCTCACCATGGGATCTTCTGATTACGGTTCAGAGGAGCTGGAATCCAACAGTATCTGGAGAGTCATGCATTCCTAATTCCTGGCATGACTTTGTGCACCTGTCTGATAGTGATCCTAACAGCCTACACATTTTCCCAACGTAGATCCTTCTGTAGCTGAAATGGTACCATCGGCACAGAGCAGGGTGGTATCAGAAGGCTCAGTGAAATCCAAAAGTTTGGAAAAGAACAAAATATCGTTAGGAAAAAGAATTTTAATTAAGGAAAAAAATGAAAAGGTCTAATACTCAGTGGCTACAGAGTGCTGACTGGAGGATGGAACAGAATAGCGAGCGGGGGTGTTTGGAGTGGGGGTGCAACAGAGTTCACATAAGAGAGGACACGGCTGGCTAGCAAGCTCATTTAACAAAATACTCCACACAACGCTGTGTACAACTCCCCACTTGTCATAGATAATACGCACCCCCATGAAATTAGCTTTAAAAAAGGATTTGATCAGCCAATTTACTCAGCAACTAAGACAGGAGCTATCACCACATCTTGCAGCAATTAATTCTAGGGAGTTAATTATTTGTTGCATGTAGTGGCGTAAACTTTTGCCACTGTTGCACTACCGCCTGCCAATTTCACTGGTTGCGATTCAGAGTTCCAGTGGTTGGAGGTAGCAGAAAAGGTTCCTTCTCTCTGCAGCAGTTGAATGGAAAATTTGGGGAACAATGAAGATGTCTGTGGGACAAGGTATCACCACAATCTGAGGGTGTAGCTTCTCCAGTGACTGTGATGTTTAGCTAATGAAGTTTAGCTACTGATTTTTTAGGCCAAAATGTTTCATGATTCAATGAAAGCCGTAATGCTAGTACATTTCTCCCTTTACAAAAATAAAAGCAGAACCTGGCAAAATTGCGGGGATTCTAAACTCCTTTGAATCAGTCACTGCATATAATCTTGTCATGGCAATTTTGATTGTGTTTGGCAAAACAAGCATATAGCAGCTACAATTTTTCAGCACAGATGGCATCATGTCTGAGCATTCACTTGTTTTCATTAATATGCTCCAACATTATAAATCTTCCATATTTATTATGTTCTTTTAAAAAAGAATCACTAATGCATCAAACAAGCCACCTTCTTAAAAAAAACAAAAAACAACTGAGGATTTGCCTTCATCAGTCATGTCTGCATACCACTTTGAAACAGTGAGATGCACTTATAATCCTTTCTATTTCACTTCACAGTTTCAGCAAAAAATTTGAAGGGGCTTGGGAAGATTTATAGCTACAAAAAAGGCAGCAATTGATATGGACAATCACATTAGTTTAGATCTCCTCAAATCGGGGAAAATATCCCACTGTTAAATGATATGTCAATTTTCTGAAAGAATTCTAGGGATAATATTAAAGGAAATTAAAAATCTACAATACGACTATACGTTTAATGGAACCAACTAAAACATGACAAATAATGAGTCAATTTTTAACCTACCCAGAACTCATCAGGCAGGGGTGGAGGGGGGAATGGGGAATGGGAGTGATGTGGTTGACTCTGTCAAGGTCCTGTTTGGGCGGAGGGAGGATCGCCAAGAATGCCTCTGGTTGGGGGGTTATAAAATCTAGCAGTTCTTCAATTGCCTTTCAAGCTTTCCTAGGAGGCGGAGAATAAAATAGAAGAGTAACATGGTAGCCTTTATATTAAATTGTAGATAGGAGCCAACTAGGAAAACCATTACCAGAGGGTGGAATGGCATTATTTCATTCATCCAAACCCCTTGGAGGGGCCAATAGTTAAAGAGTTTTTCTCCATGGCACTAACAGCAACTTAGGTTTTAAGTCAGGAGACTGTGCCCCTGATCTTCAGACCCACCGAAGGATGATGAATAATTTTTTTAAATCTCACAAAGAATACTTATCGATCATAATATAAGGTTATTCCCCATAATATAGCAAGTTTTGTCTCTGCATCCCTAAATCTATTTGTATCTCTTAACCAAACAACTCTTTTTTAAATTACATACAAACAATATTTAGAATAATATGCAAAGGGTTCAAATGTTACTTGCCTGTTTCATGCATACAGCCTGATTCCCACCAACAAAGTCCAATGCCAGAATTGTTTAATTGTAGCATCACCATAAACCATGAATAAATGCAGCTTTATTCAAACATTATTTTGGTATCACTGGGGATATGCCACAGCCAGAGTACCAAGATCAGACAATATTTATTTGATTTGTGCCCTTCTTTTTTCAACCTCCCACCAAAAAAGGGAGGGAAAGGCTTGTAAGCATCAATAAAACTTGACTAAACAACAAAACACACTTAGAAACACAGTAATAGATAAAAATAACATCCAGCCCAAAACCCCTGCTTTCAGATAAAAGGCTTGCCCAAATGAAAAAGTCTGCCTACAGTAAGACACCAGAAAGGGAGCAAATCTAGGCTCCCACTGCAAGGATTTCCAAAGACCCTGGGAGCAGCCAACAGGTTGGTCGTCTATTACACTGCCACCAAATGCATCATTGAAGGGGGCAGTCTTCCAAAGGTGGGAAGAAAGAGGCCTTTTACCGAGTCTGGTCCCAAGCCATATAGGGCTTCATTGAGATAACCAACACTTTGAATTCCGCTGAAAACAGACTAGTACCCAGTGAAGCTAACAGGGGAATCACTGCTCCCTGGAATGGGCCATTAGACTATTAGCAGCAAAATCATATGCACGTTAGAACATGCATGAGATTGCACACTAAAAGCCTTTTCTCCGAAGGGTTCAGCCCTTTCTCCTTAATTTTGGCAACAGTTTGAAATTAATGGCAATTTAGGCTAGTGTTCATTGAACATGCATGCATTCACAGAGAAGAAAAAAGACCAAACAAAATTATGCTACAGGAAGTCAGTTATGTAAAATCAGTACAGAAGACACATGAGTGTAGTTAACTGTCTATGGTCTGATTTAGCTGCTCAAGATAAAGGGATGTAGCCACAAGGAGTCGATGAGAAGCTTATTTATGCTCCAAGTTCCTTGGACACAGAAAGAAACATAAATTACACAAATATATTAAGTACCTCATGTATTTATGGAACCCAGTACCTAAAGAGGTAGCTCTTCTTTTTAGCTGTACTTCAAGGCCACACGTGCAGCTACATCACTCCTGTTCGGGGACTTATCCTTTATTTCTCCATACTTCATCGCAATCTCTTTTTGACTTTTGCACTTCACCAGCTCTTTTCATAAGTTCCTTTATGCAAACTTGGTGCTGCCTTTTAACAACTTTAGTTCAGAACCTCTGCTGCCTCTAATTGAAACCTGGTGTAAATTTATGGACCTATACAGGTCTCTAAATGTCAGTTTATGCCCACTGACAAAAACAATTTGTTCCAATTAAAGAAGCAGTCACGAAAGAACATCAGAAGCAGAAACCAGTGGTCTGTTTTGGTCCTTGAGGACTAGGTACTAGGGCAACACCTCACTGCCATGCCAGCAATTTGTATTTTCATCACAGGCAGGCTGAAGTAGCATGTGATCCCATGGATACAGGGAGCAATGGAATGTATAAAGCATTTCCTGACCTTTTGAAAGGACATACACCCTGTTAAAACTCTGCCAACCTATGAAAATTACTGCTAGCAACTAGTGGAAATTTAAGCCACTAGTATCTGACTGTTGTTGCCTCTGGCTCCAAGTGGCCTTTCAGGTCTTACCTTCTAAACACACACTGGAGAAGACTGCTTATGGTAAAAAGATTCACCACAGGAAAGTCGTGTGGCTGGGCAACAGTACAGAAAAGGGCATTAAAAATCAGTAGGATATTATTCGCTAAGCTGCAAAGTCTTAACACTGCACCAGAACACCCAGGGTGTGAATGTCAATATGATATACAGGAAAATGGCTAAAACAAACGCTGTATATACTTAATACAGGAAGTGTTTTATAGGGAGGCTCAGAATGTTCACATTGTCCATCTGGGTCAGTTTGTTAACTGAGTAAGAAAAGACCTCCAGGGTGTCAGGTAAAGGGTTCTCGCACTTATTACCTGACATCATTTAAGTCAAGATGAACCTAGAGTATTACACACGGAAAGCATGGGCTATAATGCTGAGCTACGAGGTCTCTTGCAGTTTTTGGTCCACACCCTGAACAACCTATCTTAAAAACACAGCACTTTCCTGACTCCATGAGAAAAAGCAATTGCCCTTGAGACCAGATATCTGTGGGGGAGAAGGGTGGAACTACCTTTTTCCACGAGACACACTTGGATCACTTTGACATACATACTATTGTATTAAAGGTACCGTCCTATGCATGTTTAGAGGGTAGGGAAGTCCTGCAACCCCCAGCATGCTTAATGTAAATTCCAATTTTGCAGAAAGCTAACCATCTGCAATATTAACAACTCTGAAGTTTCAAAAACATGAGCAAGAAAGACATGTCTTACAACTCCTGCAGCCTTATATATTTCAGCTTCCCGGCAGGCTTCTTCAGTGATCTGAGTCAATGGCAATGTATTTTGTGGTGTTCCTGCAAAGACAAAGTTGCCACACTGTATATACAGACACACAAATGCACACACACAGAGCAATTTTTGTAACCCCTCAGGGTAATTGATATTCTATAAAGAAACAAGAGACAACCTAACCTTGGTTTCAAATGGCTGAACAATAACCAGAATAAACTTCATACGGTGCTTCCTGTGCCCTCACACAGGCACCTTATGTATTAAAACTACTAAAGCACCATAGCTAAGGAATTAAATAAGGCACTTACCTGGGCATGACACTTCGTCAAACAAATTAGCCATACATGCAATATCTAGACCTAGTGTATGATATAGATCTTCATGGAATAGGAAACTCTTACTTTTTCTAATTAATCACAGCTTGCCATTATTTTAGAAGCCCAACTAATTGCACTTAATCTTAACTATTGTTTATTGAACTGATCAAGCTTCAAACCTTGGTTATGAAGCTGACCTGTTGAAACAAGTCCTTAATCACTGACCTCAGATGAAATGCTAAACTATGTTTAATAAAAAAATGGAAGCAAACATTTCTGACTTCTTTCTTGTGGCCATGCTAAGGAAGGGGAACCACACAGTCCAAGACTTGCTCTAATTCGTTCCCAGAGGAATAAACCATAAAGGCAACCTAAAACTAATTTGAATAAAATGTCCAAATGTCATGCAAAGCTTCACTGAATTCAAAACAAAGCAAAATATTCCAGTGAAAAGCTTGTGTATTCCTTTCTATTAGTAGCTGGATATTGTAACAGGATTCTATCTTGGGACCACGTTTTACATATTTTTGCTTTCATACACTAGAATACTGACTAAGTCAATCTAACTGCTGCTTGGTAAATGCTATTTCGTATCTAAGATTTTCCAATAATAAATTGAAGTTATGTATACATTTCATTTTAAGGTAAATGTATCCTGAAACATCAATGCAGCCCTTTTTCCCAGGGCTGATGACTATTTCTGTGAATTTTTTCCTCTTACTTTTGAAAAGCAGTTGACTCACGATAATAAACTTTTCCTAGTATTTGCTAATAACTTCTCCTTTTCTAATTTTTTAAAAATAAAAAACTTGAGGCATTTACCTGGTAGTGCTTTCACATGGACCATCCCAATGACGACAGATTTCAATCGCCCAAAAAGGTGCAAAAAGTTCATAACTGCGAGGTGTGGGAAGAACACTTGCAATGAACTCTCCCAAGCAGCTGACAGATCAGTTAAGATTTCTTTAAATAGTTAAGAGACCAGCTATGAAAACTATGAATGAGAATGGTCAGAGTTTGTTTCAGGAGACTCACACAGCACTCTGAATTTCTACCCAGCAATTTTTCAGTTTCCTCTTCCAGGCTGAGCATTGTATAGGCCTAAACTTGAAGTCCTGGCTGGTAGTATATTGGCATGAAAAGTTTGATTACTTGAGATGTTTTAACACCCCCCCCCCGAAAAAAAACAAATTTTCAACTTTTTATTTCTACCTTTTTTAAGATGCCACCATTCCAACAACGCTAGGAACTTCCTGTGCGCTGCAGCCCACCTAGTGCCAACCTTGCCATCTTTCTAGCACTAGGTCAAGAGAGGCCTTTCTGCAGAGGCCTTGGTTATCCAGGGGCCTGGGGGGACTATCCAGGAGATTTTTTTCCTTTGCAGGGTCTTTTTTTACTGTATTTTTAAGCTACTTATTATATTTGTATTGTTTTAAATATTGTAAACTTCTCAGAGAGCTTTAGCTATGGGACAATATGGAAACGAAATCAATAAGAAGACTGTATGCATGTTCCACTACTTATAAAAAAAACATTTTAAATACACATGCATGGTAAAAATTATTTTTATATTAATCTTGCTTTTTAAAGGTATGCACAGAATATGTCTCCGAGTCCAAAGTATGTTCCCCTGAGCTAAGATTTCTTCCTAGGGTGTTTTGCCTTCAGTTCTTGTAAAAATGTTAACTACAAAGTATGTGTATGAAAGGACTTCTGGACATGCACAGAGGCACTATCATTTTATAAATGCACATACTTTTCTAAACCCAAAGTCCTACAAATGCCCCTGATATAATTCCCATTCTGTAACAGTCACACTATGCCATACTCAAGGTACTAGAAGCCTCAAGAAGGTAGGTTTGTTTATTTGGGAAAAAGGGAAATGTGTCACATTAGGCAGCCTACAAAATGCATTTGGCCAGCATGTTATGGCGATTAGTGTTGGGCTGGGTCAGGAAATCCAGCTTCTAGTCCCTGCTTCGCAGTACAACTCGCTGAGTGACCTTGAACCAGTCACTGACTTTCAAACTAACCTACTTCACAGGGCTGTTGTGAAAAATAAGATGTTGAGAACTTCCGAAGCCTGCCCAGCCTTTGAACTTCTATATATGCCTACTCTTGAGAAATACGCAGGGGGCCCTGCAGTGCGAGTCATCCCCTAGGGAAGTGGGGGGGGGGGCTGCTAGGAAGAGGGCCTTTTCTGCAGCTGCTCCCCAAATTTGGAAAGCTCTCCCCAAGATTTGCCTGGCACCTTCTTTATACTCTTTTCAGCACTAGGCAAAGACCTTCTTTTCTAAAAAGCATTTTAATAGTTGATGCCTCTAAACCTTCCATTTTCTATTTTATCTGTATTTTATTAGTATTGCAGTTTTAAATAGTTACTAGTTTTAGTGTGGTTTTTTATCTTATGATTGTGAGCCGCCCAGAGGTGCTGTGGCACAGTAAGCAGCACAGAAATGTTTTACATAAAATAAAAAAAATAGCCCATCTTGAATATAAGCCTTACAGCTTCCCTGCAAGGTAAAGGGAGGTAAATATATTAATAAAAATAACCATCCTTACATCTATTTCTTGCCTCTGCCCCGCCCTTATCTTAAACAAGCATGCGCACACCCCACTTCCGAGGGATGTAGTCCCTAGCCCTTCTCGTCTATTCGCACAACAACCCTGCGAGGTAGGCCAGGGCGAGAATCAGTGCACTGCCGCGGAACCCCGCAGGCCGCCTCTCGCCCAAGTGGGGGGGCACGCGAGCCCGGCTCCGGCAGCCGAAGCGCTGCCCGCCCACCCGCAGCCCCAGGCCGGCCCCGGGCGACTCTCTCCCCCGCCCGGCCGCCCGGCGGCTCCGCGAGGAGGGAAGCGGGCCGCGTCTTCCCGCTCAGCGGCGACGGCGCGCGACGGCCACGCCCCCGCCACGCCCCCGGAACCCGCCTGGGCCGCGTCCCCGCGCTCACCTGGATGGGGGGCCCGCCGGC